AAAGGTAACAAAGAACGTATGGGAGATAATTTAAAGAATGTAATTGGTTAAATGATTTACACTATTGTTAACATTTATTTACAAAATTTTATTTATTTGTTTGGGGTATGGTTGGAGTCTCGCGAGTCAGAATTCGCGGCAGGAGAAAAGGCGAACTTCCACCAGATCTTTGTGATGCAATCAATCCTTATCAATACTGCCTAAGCAAACCTTCCACGGTGCTTTTTGTACCCGAAGTTATCTGTCCCGTATTGACCTTCCTAGCCATTAAAGCGCCTGGGGCAGACGTGGATATAACCCTTTACATAACTTCGTTCACGAAGCCTAACCAGAGACGATCATCAAAATCATGTGTTACTAGTGGGATTTGGTTAAATGTTAAGAAGTCTTGTCAAAACGCAATTTTATATGTAGATATACCAGCTTTGTATAGCAACGTGTTGTTGTGCGTTACATATTACTCATTTCACAAACTTATTTTACATTTTTTGCGTCTACTTCAATAATTTAAAGAAGCCTTGCGTTTAATTCTTTTGAAATTGATTTTATCAAATACATTTAATTTCAAGAGTTGTAAGAAAGACAACACCGAATTCTTAGATTAATTTTTCTGATATTCAACCGCAATCTTATCTGTAAAGTAAATTCCGGCACAACAGTGGCAACAACCCCAAGCACAAGTTTGAATTAGATATTGACTACTGCAAGACAATAAATTAAGCATTTTTGGTAGCTTTCAGTATCGCATCAATTATCTACATCTAAAATCGGAAATCCTTAGAATGATAAATTACAAATAAAATTTAATGACGAAATGAAGCTGTAACATAATTAGACATTATGGAAAGTCCTCAAAAATTATTCATTTCTCCTTCTGTCTCTCCCAGATTATCAGAACCGAAAAACTGAAAACACCATGGTACAAGTTGACTTATCAGAGCTTTTCAGCCTGCAGTCCTGCTCAATTTTCGATGTTCTTCGATTTAGCATTTTGAAAATTACAATAAAAACATAATGAATCTATTATAAAATGCAGAAATATACTAAATTTTCCGATATGAGATGTTAAGAAGGAAAATGTGAGGCATTCTACATAAGCTGAAAGGAAAATTGAAACCTGGAAATTGGAACTTAAACACCTGAATTTTATTGGGAATTTCTTATATGCAGAAGGATTCTAGTGAATCCAGCAAACACCTTTTATGTCTTGAGTAATTGAACATTTATTATGAGTAATTAAACATTCATTACGGCAAATTAGTGTGACAAACTAATAACGATAACAAGATGAGAGGGTAACCCAATGATGCTCGATACCACCTATCCAACCGATCTCACTAAAACTTCTTGAGAAATTCTGTTGATGTTCATGACAATCTTGGTACAATTTTAAGATCACAAGAATTGGGGCCTTTGTTAGCGCACATATAATGGACTTTTTTGTTAGAGCACATAAACTATAGATGCACTACTTTAGTTTACATTGCGCATTATATCCACGCATACTACATGTTATACCCAGCAATATCAAATCAACAAGAAAGGAATTATTGATTCACCGCTTCTCCTCGCGATTTTAGCGACATAGCGATTTCGAAACTCGTTACACCAAATGTGTGGAATATTGAAGATTTCTGACATAAATGAAGATTTAATATTAAAATTAGGCATGGAATTTGATATCAATAGATATTAACTAGTAATGAAGATTATTTTGACTTTTTTTTAAAATATTTAAATTCATCAGATGCAATAATATTTTATTAACATTATAACAGAACGATTGCGTTTCTGGTAATCAAACGATTTTCAGAAAATCAAACCTCTATTAGCATCAGAAGCACTTGCAAAAGCAACAAATTCACACATATTTGAAACGATCTTTATATGATAGTGCGTGAGATGCACAGGAGATAATATAACAAGGGTCGAATAAGAATTAATTTTCAGAATAACTTTTAATGAAAATGAATTGTAGTGGAACGGATGCGCATTATATGAATACAGATATGACGGGTGTTGGAAATATTTCAGAAAAGTAAAAGGTCGTCTTTGGCATTCAACTATTCTTGAATTCAACTATTCTTGGCATTCAACTATTCTTCAACTCCTTGGCATTCAAGAATAGTTGAATGTGAGAATATTTCATCTATGCTGATCATAAAATACTCCAGCATAATGAAGCATAACAAAAGAAGCAGAGTTCAGGTCATTATAATGCAGGAAACAATCAACATTATCCATAAATTAAACTTAGACAACAAATTATTACTATTCTGAAATTGCAACATAACAGTATCCAACCATCGATAACTTTAATAAGCTCAATTATCTACTGCTTCATGGTGTATCTTTACTATTTCATGGTGTTGTGGTGATCTCAATTATCTTCACTGTTTCATGGTGCTGATATATGTGTTATAGTGTTGAAGTATCTGTGCTGTTGAAAAAATAATGAATCCCAAATTACTAATTACTTTCATGACAACATATCGGATACTTCAACAGCAGTAATCTATAATGCTCATAAAACTTTGTTTTGGACTTCTCTTCCAGTTTACATTATCAGTCATTTGATAGAAAACACTTAACAATAAATGTAATATAGCTTGTCAAGAGTGGTTTGATGGTGTCCAGGCACATAATTAAATTGAAAGTGAAATAATCGATGATATAATCGCCAAATTTGCTATGTAATTGTAAATTTAATAACATTATCATTTAATGTGGTAACAATACAAATGGCGAAACTCTTATTCTAAGATCAGTGATTCATTTCATTAATTATGTCTGCTTCGATTCCATTGTATACTAAGAATATTTCTTCTATTAATAAACCTCTATCGCAGCTATTCGCCTCTGCCGAACAATGAACAACACTTTCAGGACAAGCGCCCACTTTCCAGTCCCTTCAAAAAAAAAGAAAAGGTAAAGAAAAAGTGGTAGGACAGAGGACTGGAACGAATAAGTTATTGGTCAAATACTTGGCTAGTCTTGTCCTGCTCGCTACCAACTTTATTCATTTTGCAATCAGCGGACCTAATTAGATGAAATTTAGATTTAGCTATTGCTTTTATGCGTTATGGAAAGATCTGAAGATTGCACTTGACATGATACATTTCCGTCCCAATAGCGATGTAATTTAACAAAACAGTTTGGAGTTCCAGTAAAATAGCTGGATTGCTTTGGATGTTATAGAGAAAGAGACAAAGTAATTCGTTTGTTTAATCTTTTTAACTTAAACTTTTATACAAAATCGACAGCATCTATATATTTCATCAGTAAACTATGTTAAAGATATATATATTCATTACTCTGGCAGGAAGTTAAATTCGTTAGATCTCAAAACCAAACTGCCATCTTCAAATTGAATTTTATAAAGTAACTTAGGATAGCAATCCTAAAAGTAGAGGAAATTGAAGAAACTGCAAGTGCACTTTGCATGCCATCATTAACAGAAATATTTTAAGGAATGAACTTTGTGATTTAATTGCAAACCTTCTGATGTTATTATCCAAGTAAGAGAAAGAGAAACTGTGTGTATATGTTGAGACTCTGAATTGAATTCTTCATCAAATTTCCGTATAAATAATTATTATCAATTTTTTCGGATGAATTCCTTGGATAAAAATATGGTCAGAAGGAATAATATGTCAAAATAAAGTATTTTTTATTGTGGAAATATTGTGTAATAACTAAAGTATATTTGTAATATAAAAATTTGTAGCGTAAAGAATATTTTGTTTAAATATTTCACAGATAAATTATTTATTACACAAAAATTAATATAAATGTGTTAATGCCTAATTAATCATTTATTCAACTGTTTCATTTCAAAGTCTGAAAACTAAGCTTATGCGCAATGTTTGGAATGTTATAAGGATCACCTAATCTGATAATTAAGCTTATGTACAATTTTTATAATGTTGCACATATATGAATATCCTCAGTACATGAAAGGTTTATATCTCTATCGGGATTCCTTTCATTCATTCATTCTTGGAAACAACTCCTTCATCAATAGTACACTCTCATCTGGTTCAACATTATTACTGACCATCATACCATGTACACTAAAGATATCCACAAATAAATTCTTACCAAATTTCCCTACAAGGACGAGAACAACTCCATGATCAGCTCTACTTGCAATATTCTATGATAATAATATCAATCCAATATTCGTTTGTGCCAATGGAACAGAGGAAAATTTTCACGAGAAATATTATAATAACCGAGTAATTCCTAACGAAGCAAAACAATATGTGAGCTGAATTTTATTACATCGTAATTTTTTAATAAACAGATTGGAATTTAATGCCAAAGTATTACATTATGGAAATACATTAAATAAAAGGAATCGTTTTAAAACATTAACAATAACATCCGTCTTGTCAACATCCCCCTTCATTTCTCACCTCCTCCGTTGACACTTTCAACTTCTTCCCTTACTTTTTATCATTATTATATTTATATTTTTTAACATGCAATATGTTTATTTATCATTTCTTCGATTCATTTGTGAATAAAAGTAGAACGCGAGTTTGCATTAGAAAATGAATGTAACAATTGCTTTTTTTTTTTTTTTTTTAACAAGTCTTCAACAGCTTTTTTATAAAGGTGCGATTTATTTTAAAAACAATTTTAATTAAAGCAATCGAGAAAACTTTTCGTGTGCATAGAATATGAACAAAATACAATAAATCTTTTCATTCCCTCATTTTTATCATATCACCTAAATCTATTTATCTTGCTTGCTTCTTGCTCTGTTGAGTGGTACTTGTCGGATCCTTATGTCTGTTGGGAAAAACTAAATGAACCTATCAAATTTGATTTAATTCTCAATTAGGATTAATTTTAGAGAGCGACTTGTTCAAGTGAGCCGTAATATCTCTAAATGATCCTATTGAAGACCGTTTCGCAATAGCATCTGTCGCATTGGTTAGTATCAATCTGAACAATTATCTGGCAATTTGCAGTTTTGCATTATTTTAACATAGCTAGTAATCAAATTACTCTATGTGTGCACTGAAATGTACACTAAAGAAGCACAAAAAGCATTTACAATTTTGTAATATCATTGATTGAAGTGATGACAAAAAAACAGAAATGCAAACCAGAATGGATCTGGATCTGAGGCATGACAAGTTAGGAGCAACTTACCCTCTGTCTCCTTGTTTTAACCAAACATTAATAATGATGGCAGTATTTTCAATGAAGGAGAAAATCTTCATCCGAGGATAACGGCCCTTGTTGATGCATAATTCCGCATAACTTCTCATTATACTAAAAAAATGAAAAAAAATCAATTAAATCCACAACAATGCACCATAGATATCGATCTTCGGATTGATCAGCAATGGTACGTCACTGTATATTACACGTACGAGGCCACGTTTCCGTAATGCGTTTGGAATCTTATGCAGCAGTTTCCTGATATGCAACTTGCAAGCCATATTTG